CACCTGGAGTTTGTACCTCTCAGACTTGTCATACCTGAGCTTCCAGCAATTCATCAATTATAGTTTTCTTATTCCAGCACTGGTTCCCAGAGAGGTTTCTGCTTATGGATTTCTGCTCTGGTTAAGTTGTGATTCTCTATATTCACCTGTGGTAACAAACAAGTCCTGTGGGACTCCCCTTCACTGTCAGCCAGTGTGTGAGAGATTGAATTAATCAGGGGAATCTCTGACCCCTGTGGGTCTGAGTGCTTGCCACTGTAGGATCACCAGTCACACTCCATCACACTCACCAGACAGACCTTAAAGGAAAGGCTTTTTATTTTGGAAGACATCAACTGGGAGACAGAGGGTAAAGTCCCAACTGCTTCCTTGATCGACTGAGGGCTGCGGTTTATATAGGTAAATATGTTGGGGAGACAGGATGTAGAGTCTTCAAGAGTGATGGACAGCTGCTTTTGATACAATCTTACTTAATCAATCATTAAGGACTAACTATAAAGTGAACGGAAAGTTAGTTCTATATTGTATACATGAGTGAGTGTGAGGGGTCTTCTACGTTTACAAATTTCCCTCTGTGTTAGTAACTTCCACAGTCTTGGGGAAGGAACAAGATTGCAGGCCTCTTGTCTAGCTACTGGGCAGTGTTGTCGTACTCTAAGGAATTCCCATGCAGAATTTCTGACCCCTGCAAATGAATTTTTTCAAGGGTTACTGTATATCCCAGTAAACATTGTCCTGGACCCCCCTCTTCTTATGCACTCATAGGCCCAGGGACATCCTTCCTGGCAACAAACAAACACAAAACCTGAAGGAGCACAAGTAATAGTTTCTCCTGAGGATGCTGTTTATAATGCCACTGTTTGTAACCATGCATCCATTATCATTAAGTCACAAGGGGCCAATGGGGATCCCTTTCAGAACCCAGGGACTGATTTTATAGTGATATTGTATGGAGTATCATCAGAACTCCTGTTATCTGAAAATTTTTGGATTCCATTTTCATCCAGAAAGGGGGTATCCTTTAGTAGATGTCAGATATATGCAAGGAGGCTTAGCATAAGGACCTACATTCAGTTGTATCAATTTAAACTGATAAGCTATTTAGGCATCCCAATTAGGTTTCCCCCTGCCTCTTTATGTGCAAGAGGGTCATGATCGTCGAGAACCAACTGTGGTTTTGGATGACGTATCCAACAGTGGGAGAGATTACCAAATGTAGCCAGGATCTGGGAGATTCATACTGAAGAATTGTCTTTCCAAGCCTAGCTAATCTGCAGGACAAGAAATACAATGATATTAATCATTTTTGTGTAAATTTCAACTCTAAGTCTCTAATGGGCTGAACTTCCCAGCCGCCTGGGTCATATATGTTCACTCAGGTATAATGTACCCAAGTTTTTTGTCCCTTCAGCTTTACTGCTGAATGGGTGACAGGTAACACATCATAAGGTCTGACCTATCTTAGTTGCTGCTGTGAATCAGGGTGTTTTTCTCTCCAGGTCTTGAGCAGGACTTGGTCACCAGGTTTTATAGCATATAGAGGAACATCTGTCGGGTAAGCCAACCTGTTAGAAACAAACTCATGTAAAAAAAAAAAGAAAAGAAAAAAGAAACAAACCCATGTAACATAGTTAAAGTAGCTCCAGTTTGTTTTACGTACTGTTCTATAAGCAATTCTCCTTTTGGGAAGGAAGGGTTGGTAGGCCCCTGTGCCCGATGAGTCAGTGCTCTCTCATACAAAATTTCATAAGGACTCAAACGTACCTTGCACCTGGGGGCTGCCCATATCCACTAGGGCCATTGGTAATTCTTGGACCCAAGTTAGATTTGTTTCCTAACAAATCAGGGTCTGATTCATCTGTTTGATTTTCCTAGTCAGTGCTCTCTCATGCAAAATTTCATAAGGACTCAAACGTACCTTGCACCTGGGGGCTGCCCATATCCACTAGGGCCATTGGTAATTCTTGGACCCAAGTTAGATTTGTTTCCTAACAAATCAGGGTCTGATTCATCTGTTTGATTTTCCTTTTGGACTGTGGACTCCAAGGAGTATGTAGTTTCCAGCTTACATTTAATAGTCTAGCCACTTCTTCAATGATTTTCGAAATGAATGCTGCTCCATTGTCACTCTGCAATCTTTGTGGTAACCCAAAATGGAATAATCTCCCGCAGAAGTACTTTAATCACTTCTGTGACCTTTTCTGTTTGAGTGGGGAAGGCTTCTACCCACCCAGTAAAAGTGTCTACTAAAACAAACATATAATGAAGGTTTCCTGGAGCCTTTGGGCATCTGTGTGAAGTCCATTTGCCAATCTTCACCTGGGTAAGTGCCCTGCCATTGTACTTCTGCCATTGGAATCTTGGGACTACCAGTGACTCTCCAGGGATTATTGCAGGCACAGATCAGGCAGCTAGAAGCTTCGAATTGTCTTTTGCAAGTTGGGTCCTATTAAGTCAAGCTTTATCCATTCCAAAGTTGCATCACATCTATAGCGAGTGCTCTAGTGTATTTGATTTAGGATGGGTCTCATGGAAGCGGCCAGTAAAAGTACTCATTTGGCAGCATCTGTCATCCACATGTGTCAGGGTCCAGCCTGAAACCCCATTCAGCACCTCTCTTGAGATCCTCAGCAGTATGTACAGGTTTTTGAGGATTTAGGATGGGTCTCATGGAAGCGGCCAGTAAAAGTACTCATTTGGCAGCATCTGTCATCTACATGTGTCAGGGTCCAGCCTGAAACCCCATTCAGCACCTCTCTTGAGATCCTCAGCAGTATGTACAGGTTTTTGAGTCAAATCTGGAGGACTTTGAGGACTCATTGCTAGCTGTAGAGAGGCCTGCTTTGCAGCCTGTTTAGCAGCTTCATCTGTTTTACTGTTACCTCAGATTACTTCATTATCAATCCTATGGTGATCCTGTGCAATGGATGACTGCTACTTCTCTAGGTACTAAAACTGCTTGCAACAGTTTTAATATCTGTTGTGCATGTTTTATTTCTTTGTTCCTGGAGGTCAAAAGACCTCTCTCTCCAGATAGCCCCATGAGCATGAGCTATCATGAAAGTATATTTAGAGTCAGTATAAAAATTTTCTTTGATTCTGTTATCTAGTGTTAGATCTCAAGTCAAAACAATTAGTTCAGGTGTCTGGGCTGAGGTACCAGGAGGAAGGGCCTGGGCTTCTACTACCTGTTGAAGTGTAACCATGGCATACCCAGCTCAACGCTTCCCCTGGTCAATAAAGCTGCAGCCATCTGTCTAAAATTCCATATCAGATGCCACAAGAGGTTGGTCAGTCAAATCAGGTCAGCTAGAATAAACTCAGTCAATTATTTGCACATAATCATGATGTGGGGGGTCCATAGAGGCAGGTGGAAAAGTGGCAGGACTCCAAGTAGACAGAACCTTTCAGGTGACCTTAGAATTGTCTAGTAGGATGGCCTGATATTTGCTGAGCCTTCCCTCTGTCAGTCAGTGTCCCCCTTCTGTTCTAAGAGGAGGAGCACGTAGTGCATAGTGCGTATGGTAACGGGCTGACCCAGGGTAAACTTTTCCACTTCTTGGGGTATGTCGCAAGTTGCGGCCACCGACTACAAACATGTGGGCCATCCTTTAGTCAAAGGTTCTAATTACTTAGAAAAATGTGCCACTGATCACTTATGGCTTCTCAAATTCTAAGTCAAAATGCCTAAACCTCTTGTACAAAGAGGTCAAAGGGTTTCCGAAGATCTGGGAGGATCAAATTGGGGGCAGTCAGCAATCTTTCCTTAATGGTCAAAAAGGCTTTTATGGCATTTGCCAGTCCACATAAGAGGTTCTTTTTCTTATCTTTTTAAGGTCTCACATAGGGGGTTGGCTTTGTAACCGATGGCTAAATGCCTAGTTGGGCTTGAGTTTCAGGGGATACTGTCTAAATCTTGGTTTCTTGTGCCCAGACTTAGTTTTTATTACCACCTGGGTGATGTCTGTTTTCCTGAGGATCCTGTCTGCCCATGCTCAAGGGTCTACTTGGTCCTTTACATCCTTCAGGATTGCTAGGTCCAGTCTAGTTTCAGAAACAAAGGCAGCCTGTAAAGTCCGTGCTTGCTGTTCTAGCGCATAGATATGAAACTGATTTTTACCAAAGGTAATTTGTGCTTGAGTTTGGTTAATAAATCTCATCCCAATAAAGGAGTTGCACATTTGGACATATACAAAAGGGTATGGGTCAGTATATTTGAGCCAATCTTGCATTCCAGGGGCTGTAAGAAATAGTCTTGGGCTAGACTTCCAGATACTCCTGCAACTGACATAGCTTTTGGGGTTAATTTAGCTAACATTAAATTAAGAACAGAGTAGGTGGCTTCCATGTCAATAAGAAAATCAGTCATCTTTCCTCCTGCCTCTATAGTTGTCTGAGGTTCTTGGTGGGAGACGGATGTTGTAGGTAGCTTTTCTCCTGCCTGTAAAAGAACCTTTGGACCCTGACATTCAGTTTCTTCTCCATCTAAGCCAGCCATCTGGAGCATGATTTCATTTTTGGTTGTCCTTTTTAAATTTGGATGATCTTTATGCCAGTGGCCTTCTACCTTATAGTGGGCAAATTGTGTCTTAGATAAAGGAGGTTTAGACGAGGGCCCCTTCTGAGGAGGCTTTTATTTCATGGGCCTCTTTCCACTTTCTGATTTTGACCTAGGGCCACCACTATGAGTTGGGCCTGTCTCTTATCCTGTTGTTTCTTTAACTGATCCCAACTGAGAGAAACCTTATAGGCTACTTCCACTAGGTGGGACAGTGGCAGGGTTAAGGCCCCTTCCACATTTTGTGGGATATTGAGTGAACGTTGTCTGATAAAGGTTATTTTAACCAATCAGGTATCTTCTTGGTTATTTGGGTCCATATCTGTATTTTCAGTAAGCCTCCAGAAATCAGTTCCGGAAGGGCAGATGGACTTTTATTAGGTTCCTGCCTTAATTCACGTACTTTGCTCAGACTTTTGATTTGGGGTACCCCTTTCTGTAGCCCTACCAGTATGCATGCCTGAAAATGTTGGATTCTACCTTCATCACCACTGTTGGGGTCTCATTCAGGATTGCGGTAGGGGACAACTTCCTTAGTGCCAGCTCTTACCAGGTCGTTGTGATCCTCGGTGTGTAGTCAGTTGGCTTCTCCAGTATTAATCAGCATTCCTCTGAGGTCAGTAAAACAGCAAAAAGATTCTGTATGTGTACCCAAGTAGGGTGGTAGTTGGTAAAAATAGACTCAAAAGAGTTTAGTCATTTTAGTAGGGTCCTCCCAATAAGTGGGGTTATTTTGTTTCCAATTATGAAGTTTAGAGGCAGTGAAAGGACTGTATATGCACATCATTCTAGCTAGTTGTCCATCTTCATTTAATCCACCTTGGTGCCTTAAAGGGTATGTAGCCCCACTGCAGAAGAGGGCCTCCAGCTAAATTGAGTGCCCTTTTGGGTATGAGAGGGAGAGACCTTGTTCTCAGCCAGGCCAGGCTCCTTTCCTTTCAGTAGAGATCTGGGGATGGGTATAAAGTCAGAGTTGAAACTCCAGGTCCCTTAATATTATTAAGTAGGGGTTGAATAGGAGTAACAGTCCTGGGCTTATTGGTGGTCGTGGACCTGCTTTTTGTGGGTCCCCAGACAGCAGTGGAATCAAGACAGGGGCTGGGCTTAGAACAGGCACAGGAACCGAATCAGGCAAATAAACATGAACTGGTAATGGATGAGGAGCTGAGGGAGTAGTAGGGACAAATGGCAGGGGAGTCCCTGTCGCAGCTGCTCTCTCCTCCAGAGGTAGAGGCAACGGCCATTCCTCTAAAGGATCCAGCTGTGGAAGCAAAATCCATTTCTTCTTATTTTGGAACTCCTCTGATCTTTGCATAAACAATTTACAGTCTTCCCCATACAAATGGCCAACAGATACATGAAAAAATGCTAAACATCACTAGTCATCAGGGAAATGCAAATTAAAACCACATTGAGATACCACCTCACTCCGTCAACATCACTAGTCATCAGGGAAATGCAAATTAAAACCACATTGAGATACCACCTCACTCCGGTTAGACTAGCTATGATCAAAAAGACGGTGAATAACAAATGCTGGCGAGGGTGTGGAGAGAAGGGAACACTACTGCACTGTTGGTGGGACTGTGAATTAGTACAACCACTTTGGAATACAATTTGGAGGTTTCTCAAACAACTACACATAGATCTTCCATATGATCCAGCAATCCCTCTTCTGGGTATATATCCAGAGGAATGGAAATCATCATGTCAAAGAGATACCTGCACTCCCATGTTTAGTGCAGTGCTGTTCACAATCGCCAAGATATGGAACCAACCTAAATGCCAACCTAGATGTCCATCAATAGATGTTTGGATAAGGAAACTGTGGTATATGTATATACACTATGGAATACTACTCTGACATAAAAGAGAATGAAATACTCCCATTTGCAACAACTTGGATGAACCTGGAGAAACTTATGTTGAGTGAAACAAGCAAAGCACAGAGGGATAAATACCGCATATGCTCTCTCATATTTAGGAGCCAAGAGAGAAAGAAGGCAGGAAAGAAAGACCACAGTAGTGCCATGATCCAACAGAGGGAGGGAACATTCCTAGGGCTACAAATTGGAGTTGAGGGAAGAGGGGGCAGGGGAGGGAGGTTGGGGGATAATTGGGAGGGGACAAAGGTTACAAAAGTAATTTCTGGTAATGGGTATGCCCCCAGTATGAATCTGGCCCCCACATCATAGGCAGGAGGGGGGACAATCAGCTTTGTATTTCATGAATGTTCATAATAAATAAAAAATAAAAATAAATAAAAAACTTCATAAAAAAAGACAATTTGCAGCCTTCCCTATCTGTTTCACTTTGATAAAACAACATGAAAGATTAGACATACAGAATCTATCCCATTCACCCTGATTATGATGAAATAGATCAAACTGTAGAATTGTGTTATAATTTTAAATATCAATTTACAGGCCACATCTCCTGATCTCCCAGTGTATATTGTGGCCATTATTACAGAAGAAAATCATATTCTTATTCATGGGCTCATAGCTATACTGAGCCCAATTTTGTAATATACATCCTAGAGGACTAGGAACTGGGATAGATGGTTGATTTCCCGTATCAACTTGCACAAACAACACACTTACTGAAGTATTCTTCACAACAAACAGGTCAAATGAGTCTGTATAACGCCATGGTCAGGATTCTCCAAATACTGTACTCAAATGGGGGTACCAAAAGGACTCACCTGTCCTGACCAGAAAATCCAACACTTTCCTTTCTGGGTGAGTTCCAGTTTTCCAAGTACAAGTAGCTGGGGGTGTCCAGGGAAGCTGGGAATTCCTGGTTGTGTCCTCTACCTAAAAAGGGCCGAGCAGCTGCTTGGACAACAGGGTGGAAATTTCCATTCCCCAGAGGCCACCCAAGCAGTGAGCAGCTCTCAGCCCCAGTGATGGGTGCCAAAAAACTGGTAATGAATGAATCCTGTGGGATTCCCCTTCATAGTCAGCCAATGTGTGAGAGGCCAACTTAGTTGGGGAAACTTAGTCAGACTCCGTATGGGTCCCAGTGCTTGCCGCTGTAGGATCACCAATCATACCTGCCAGAAAGAACTTAAAGAAAATGCTTTTCATTTTGGAAGACATCAACTGGGAAACAAAGGATAAAGTCTTAACTGCCTCCCTAGTCACCTGAGGGCTGGGGTTTACCTAGATAAACATCTCTCTCCGGGGAGACAGGATGTAGAGTCTTCAAGAGTGATTGGACAACTGCTTCCTGCTTTGAGAGATGCATCAGTTGAGACAGGATAAAGGGTTTACCCATGATGGACAGCTGATTTTGATACAATCTTAGCTAATCATTAGGGCTAAGTATAAGGGGAAAAGAAAGTTAGTTCTATAGTGTATACATGAGTGTGGGGGGGGTTCTATGTTTATACCTGTCTCTAATTTTGGGGGCAGTAGTTTGCTCTGTGATCTCACTTCGTTGACGGTTCTAAGAATATTTGTTGATTTTTGGTTTGTTCAATTTTTTAATTGTTAGGGTGGAATGGTGGCTTCTAAGCTCCTTACTTGCCAGACCAAAAACCAGAAGTCCAATGATTACTTTGTAACCTGACAGACATGATCACTTCTGAAATATAACTGAATCAACAACATATTTTTGTAGGGCTTCTCATTTTCACATAGTACTTGGTAACACAAAGCCACAATGAGCTAAAAATTGAACTGGCAGGACAAATACAAAGCACAAAACAATATGTTAAAATATCTCTTTTAAAAATATATTGGAATACCTCTATAGGAAGAATGTCTCAAGCAAACAAGACTGATCATTTTTTTTTAAATGCCTCCATTCTATTTATTTATTTTTTGTCTTAAATAATTAATGTTTATTCCTTCTGTATAACTACAACTTTGTACCCTTTGGCCAGCATCTCTCCATTCCCTCCAGCCTGTGATAACCACTGTTCTACTCCTCTGCTTCTATGAGTTTGATTGTTTTAGATTCTACATATAAGTAATAACAGGCAGTTCCTGTCTTTCTGTGCCTGACTTATTTCACTTAACATGATGTCTTCCACGTTCGTTTATGTCTCAAATGACAGAATTTCCTTCTTTTTAAAGGATGAATAGAATGTTATTGTTTGTATATAACCATATTTTCTTTATCCATTCATCCATTGATGGACACTTAGGTTGATTTCATAACTTGGCCATTGTGAATAGTGCTACAATGAACATGGGAGTGCAGATATCTCTTCAACATAGTGATTTCAAGTCCTTAGGATATATACACAGAAGTGGATTGCTGTTTGTTTGAAAATTCTGTTTGCAGTTTTTTGAGGAACCTTGATGCAGTTTTTCATAACGACTACACTAACTTATATTCCGCCCAACAGTGTATAAGGGTTCTCTTTTCTCCACATCCTTGCCAATTGTCTTTTTGATAATAGCCACTTCTGAAAGGTATGAGGTGATATCTCATTGTGGTTTTAATTTGCATTTTCCTAATGATTAGTGATGTTGGGCATTTTTTCCATAAATCTGTTGGCCATTTATATGTCTTCTTCTGAAAAATGCCTATTTAGGTCCTTTGCCCATTTTTAAATTAGGTTATCTGTTTTTTTTGCTATTGAGCACTTTGAGTTTCATATCTGTTATAGATGTTAACCACTTACCAGATATGTTTTCTTCCAATCTGAAGGTTGTCTCTTTACTCTGTTAATTGTTTGCTTTGCTGTGCAGAAGCTTTTTAATTTGATGTAATCCCAGTTAAGATTAACCAATTTCTTTTTGACTTTTTTTAAGCAGAAAAGTTCAATATCCCAGTATCATAAACCATTTATCAGATCACATCAGTATGCAATCAAGGAGATGTCTTGACTGTAACATCATCTAAGTAAGATGCAGCTCTCAAGGGCTAAGAGTTCTATCAAAGAGTTTGATTAGACATGCAACTATATTGCAGTTTGATAAATTATGTGATAGTAATATATAATACACTCCAGCAGAAAAATTGGCAAAGACATGAACAGATTATTTATAAAAGAAGAAATTAAAGTGATCAAGAAACGTGAAATGTGTTCGGTTTTATTAAATCGGTAAAAACAAATTAAGAGAAGATATCATTTCTCACCTACTGGAAAAATTTTAATTGATTATTTCTGGTGTTGGTGAGGATGCAGTGAAATAGGCACAAACAGTAAAAGTTGGTACAACCTTTCCATTTTTAGCAATTTTATGTGTGTGTTATTCTAACTTTTCATTTTAAAATAACTTTAGACTTTCAGAAAAGTAGCAAAATAGGGC